CTTTTGAGAAGATTTTCCTGGGTTAAAAAGTAGTCTTATACGCCAGAAAATACAGTAATTCTTCTCCTTGCTTGGTGTTTGTACCCTGTGAACTTTTGTATCATGTTCTTCCTTAGTCCTTTCTTAGCCAGGCTGTGCATATTTAACTCTTATTAAATCATTCCTTGTGCACCAAAGCCTCCAGTTCGCTGATAAGTTTTGTTGCTGTTCTCTGAACTCCCTTGTGACTTGTGAATCTCTTTCTAGAAAGGAGGTGCCCAAGAATGAAAGCAATATCCCTGGTGAAGTCACACTTGAGACATGAAGAAAGGAGCAGTTATTTCCCTGCTCTGTGATGCGACACCTCAATACATACAGTCACGGATTGCGCTGACCTTTTCTGCTACCGTATTGCATTATAAGCTTATGTCTAAGTTGGTATTCTCTATCCTCCTATTCCTGAATGTGATGAAAACAGAATGCATGTACATGTTATTACTAAGAAAAACAGAATACAAGTGGACATCGCAATTAAATGGATAAGCTATAGAGGCAGTAGAATAAATTAATGTTCTGGGATCATATATATCCAACCAAGGAGGCTATTCCAAAGAAATTGGAAGACGGCTATGGCCTCCCTTGAGAAAGTGTGGAAAAAACATGGTATCTCAGAATGTATGAAGGTATGACTGGTGAAAAGTCTAATCTTTTCCATAGCAATTTATGGATGTGAATTGTGAGATGTTAATGCTCCTGACAAGAAGAAAACTGAAGCTTTTGAAATGTGGTGCTGGTGAAGACTCTTGCATATCTCCTGGATGGAAAAAAAGATGAATGCTTATTAGAAATATTACTGGAGAGAAGGAGACCCTGATGTTGGAAATCAACGGATGCAAATGTATGCACTTTGGTCACATTAGGTGTTGAGATAGAAATGCCCTTGTGACAGTTATTATGGAAGAAATGGTGATGAGTCATTAAAGTAGGGAATGACAAGTGAGGAGATAGATGGATGATCAGCAGATCATTGGAAGGTCAGCTGCTGAGTGCTCTAATTTAGCAATGCATCATGAAGACTTTTGCAAATTCTTCTGTGATGTCACTGATATTCAGACATGAACAAATAAATTTGCTTACTTATCCTCCTAAGTCTCTTTCAGCATTACTGCTTTCCAGGCTCCTCATCTGACTTTTGGATTAATTTACCCCGATGTCCTAGCTTGCACTTTTCCAAGGTGATTCTTATTTTATTTTTGACCCAAGTTTCTAATTTCTCTAGGTCCCGTTGTCCTATTTTCTCTGTCCTCACAGCTATTCTCATCTCCTTCCCATTTAGTATCATCTGTGAATTTAATTAACATGCTGTTTACTCCCCTTTGTAGTTTATTAAGAAAGATATTAAATAAGATGAGACCTAACACTGCTCTGCCCTTAAATTGATACTTTGAGACTTGTAATTATCATTTGTTTTTGGTCCATGAGCCCAGATTTCAATCAACATGAGTATTTGTGCCCAAGAAGTTTTGAATTAATTTTAAGTATGCTTTTGTGTGATAAATCTGACTGTTCTCTCACATACGTCAGTTTTATATCAGTATAACTCCATTTGCTTGGAGTAAGTGGAGAATCAGATCCATTATAAGTTAAGAAATATCTTGTTAAAACCCAAATATATTCCATCTGCTCCTTCCATTCATCCATTAATTTGTAATTGTATTTAAAAAAAGCAATCAAGTTAGTCAGGCCAGATCTATTCTTCACAAGACCATGTGACTTATTGCTCATGGTTCCATTATTCTCTAGAAATGTAGTGAATTTTTCCCCTCAAGATTTTTTGCATTGTTTTACCAGAGATAGAGGTTAAATTTTAAAATAATTGTAATTAGCACGATCACTCTTTTTTTCCTTTTATGAAAGCTGGTTCAGTACCACATTTGCTTTTCTCTAATCTTCCACTACCTTTCCAGTTGTACATGACATTTCAGTAATAAGAATAATAAATTACTAATAACTATTACAGAAGTTGCCAAAGATCCCCATCAGGATTAGTAAGTTAATTTGTTTATTTCCTTAAAGTTTTTAGATGCAGTTTGTCCAGACTGGTTGATTTATATATGGACAGTGGCCAACATTCCCCAAATCCTGTATTATTAGAGGGTGAAATTCTGGTTCCATTGAAGTCAGTGGGAGTTTTGCCATTGATTTCAAGTGGGTCAGGATTTCATTTGCAGTGTTTATCAGGCATTCCCGAGGACTTAAATGACCAAGTTGCCATCATTGCTGTACGGTCAGAAGATGCCCATGCAGTGTACAAGAATTCAGTGCTGATAGCCTCTGAGATAGTGACTGAGCTGAAAGGTTGCTAATTACTTTGTCTTATTGCCATCAGCAATTGATGCAACTCTGATTTTCAGTACTCTAACTAGTATTCAGTAGTACAACTGTCCAGTGACAAACATGTGTGAGCTATTTTTTTACTGGAAGATCCTGCCCCCATTTATTTAAAAAATAATGCAAGGCTGTGCAGGGTAGGATAGTGAAGGTGCTTGGGATGCATCCTTGGCTCCCTGGGCTAGTCTGAACTAGTGTCTGCTTGCAATGCATATTTTGTTTCCCACACAAGAGATAAAATACAATTAAAAGGCCACACACTTCCCATAATAGCCCAAGAGGAATAGGAAGAGGCTCAATGCGTTAATCCAGGCCCACACACTTACATGCTCAATTCTGTGATGAGTAAGGCTGTGATTCTGTCATGGAGGTTGCGGAATGCAGCAGCAGTCTTGGGGGCAGCCCCGGGGAACGTCTGAGCAGTGGTCTTGGGGACGGCCCCGGGGAGCACCCGAGCAGTGGTCCCCAGGGCATCGGAGCAGGGGTGGCTGGGGGCAGTCTTAGCTTTAGTGATGAGGTGCCCAAATCCCAGTTTGAGGTACTTAGATACACATCTGAGCACCAAAAAGCAGATCGTACTGAGGCACCCAAGTTTAAAACTAGATCTATATGACTTTCAGTGCTGTCTGGGGACCTGATTCGCCATTGTTCTGCCCCTTGTGTAGCTATGTACACCAGTGCAAAGTGAGAAGGAGGGGTAAAATACCACCTTTCTGATTTGATAGCATTTTACACTTACTTTGCACTGGGGAAAATGCTTGTACATGGTGCAAGGCAATGGAGGGGTAGGTAGTAGGTTTGTATCTCCATAGTGTATCAGTTAATAGATCATTACCTTAATAGACTGTTTTGAGATTTTAAATTAAAATGCAAATGTGGTAGAGTTCCTCATGTAACTAGCAAACTCCATAAGAAGAGGGCAAGCCACAGGTGTTCTCCAGCACCACAGAAGCTAATCACCCAAGCCATGAGGCTGGGGAAAGAGCTACTGTTCTTATGACATTTTTTTTATCTTTTCCAATAGCCTGTGTAATGAGATCTACAATGATTATCACCATAGTACCTCTCTCCATGTATCTGTGACAAAAGAGAGACTTGAACCAGAATCTCTGATCTTTCCTTCCGCTGAGTCAAGTATCATTAGCATGTTAACATCCCAGACAGGCAGGGGGAAAATTGTAAATGAAAACTGGTGGCTTCTACAAAAATAGGGCCTGCTGTTAACCCCTAAGCAGGGTATTACAACAGGGAACTAAGGATTTACCCACAAACCCCTACACTACAGATTCCTCCCCCGCCTGTATCTATTACCGGGTAGTGATTAATACCAAAGAGGCAGGTATAAAGTACAACAGAACAAGGTTTATTAACAAGGACCCCACGAAACAGTAAACATATAACAAAGCAAAAGCACTTGGTTGTTAAGTCTAATCTGGCCTGAAGCCAGGGACCCCCAAATAACACAGGACAGGTAGGTGCAAGGAATTAAGGAAACTAATACATCACCACCGTATCTGATGATCTCAACAGAATGAGGACCGCACTCAAGGACAGGAGCATAACTGGATCACAGGAACACTCGAACTCAGGAACCCTCAGGAATGATGCAGGACCCAGGAGCAATAACACTAAGGATCAGGAACCAAAGGTAAGCAGGTCTTCTATCTTCTAGTCTTGAGGCGAGGTCTCAGCTAGGACTGTAGGCACTGGGATGGACAGCAACCAGTTTCTGTGTGACAAGTCTTATATAGACTACACCCTGATCATATGTTCTTTCCCACTCTTTCTGGTTGTTGGGCAGACTTGCCAGCAGTATCCAGGCAGATCAAAATTACATAACCCTGTAGTTTCCTGCCTTGGACCCAAAAGGGCACCAACTGGCAAACAAGAAGGGGGTAACAACATGGAGGCCAAACAACAGCTTTGTCAAAACAAAATGACAAAATTGAAAATTGGCTTTACACTGCTCCTGTTGAAATCAGTGGCAATCCTAGTGGGAGCAGAATCTAGCCCGTACTATGACCAAAACTCATTCAGTATAGTGGTAATCCAAACCCAATTTCCCTTATGCACTGTACACGTACTTTCAAATGTAAAAAAAATATATATTTCTTATGCTTACATCAAACTCCTTAGTCCCTGGAGTCAATGTGATGCATTGTCCTGTTTCTCCATCTCCTCTGGCCTATTTCTTTGTGAAGTTCTCCCTGGGCCCCAAATCCATGTGATTTCATTCCTGCTGATCATCATGTGCTCTGTGAAGATCAAAGCAAAGTCTCACTTCCAGCTGTCATTTTTGTTTTGCATCCCCAAATGTTTCCCTCAGTTTAAACAAAGCTTCACAGTAATCGGGACAAAAGCAGACCAATTAAAACATGCCTTGCCTTTTGATCTGCCCATTCATAATGCAAAAGTTTTCTCCCAAATCTGCTATGTGGAGCTCAACGTTTTTTTACGACTGCACAATATGTTCATCGAAGACATCCCTGCACAATGATCTAACGATTATACTGAAATACAGAACCATACAGAAATAATAAAGGCCCCAACTCTGCAATCCATTTAGGAGGAACTGTTTGCAGTTTCATTTATTTCAGCAGAGCGCCTTGCAGGACTGAGGTCAATGTACACTAAAAACAACAGCAACATTTACACTCCATCTAGATACTCTCATTTGACCATCTATACTTTTGTTTAATGCCTATTTGAACTGTGTTTACTTCCCTATAGAAATGGTTCAGTGCTAACAAAAGTTAGGAACATAGGAATTACAAGACTGGATCAGGCCCCTAGCTCATTGTCCAGTAGCCAGCACCAGATGCTTCAGAGGAAGATATAAGTACCTTGGAGTAGGCAGATATGGGATAACTTCCCCATTACACTAGGTCTCATCCTGATCTCTAAGAGTTAAAGATTGGTTCAAGCTATAAGGTTTAATATCCCTCTCAAAATGTTTGCTAGCAATAACTATTAATTCTGGATGTTCCTGTTGTCCATTAAAAGATTTAATCCTTCTTTGAATCTTGCTGAATTGCCCACAGCCCAGCATCCATGAGTACCCATCATCGTAAACCAACATATCTTACTTAGAAGACAAGGTAGAAGAAAACAGATTTATGTTTTCTGCTTTCCAGGAGTTATAAACAGTGCAGAACACAGAATACAGATTAAGGTTTAGGCTGAAATAACAGCTTCTAAAATATTTTGGGAACAACTTCCAAAACTATCTTGAAAACTGGAAGCAAAAGTAGTAAAAATAATTTAGACTCAGCAAATAGAAACATTGATTCAACCAATTAAAAAAAGAAGAAGCTGGAGGAATCTGCATTAATACCCTCCCAAAACAAATAAACAAAACTATAAATGAAAATAAGCTAAGTAAAGTGTGTTATGTGACTGAAAACTGAATAATAAAATCTCTGTAGGGAAAAATAGCAGACAAGAAGGACTCTAGACAAGATTACATTTTACAGTAAATCCCATCAGCCCAGAGAAACCTAATAGAGGGACCTATTATCTAAAGCAGGAGGAAGAAACACATTCCAACTAAAATAACCATAAAAGAGCAAAACAGATCATCAGTAAAAGAGAGTTAAAGTTCCCATTAGAATTAAAAAAGTGATAGCTCTACAATCCAGCATTCATGGGATGATCCACAGACTAAATATCCTAGAAATGCTTGTTTGAATTGTAGCATGCTCAACTCAATTCCAATACAGATAAAACTGTAGTTTACTGGGGGAGGGCGGGACTTTTGAATGGGATCTTAAAACCAAGCTTTGCTCTGGCAGAGTCAAATTTGAGGGGGAAAAGGTATAGGTATTCCCCCAAGTTCCAGCCACATAACAAGCTCCAGCTGAGTCACCGTAATGAGACACTGCACACTACAAATTGTGTAGATCTTCACAATATGATTGTGCGTGATCTCTGAGCTCCTGGAGCTGGACTTCCCCCTTGGTGGAACTAAGATGTCCCACTGGGCTCTGCCATGCTATCTGGCCATGACTCCTTCTTGCGTGGGGAAGAGAACAAAGCCATAGCTACACTAGGAAGAAAGATGCATTTTAACGCATGTTAGCTAACACATGTTAATGATAGTGTATTACAGTCCTAGTGTAGACATGACAAGCTGCCCTTTTAACAACTGTTTATTGGCTGAGGGGAACACTAGGCTCTCCCCTAGTGTCCATACAAGCAGCTTAACACTTGGCCAACTTGCCTTATTATAAAAGGATTTTAACAAGTGTATTGGAATCCAATCTCAGACGCATACCTTCTGCTTCTGCTGTGGGATACTCTGGTGCCATGACCACACTACTGTAGCCATTTCTGTCTGATTATTGAGTCCACAGTCTGCTGACCCATGCGGCACAACTCTTCCTCTTTTACGGCTGTCTCGTTCTTGTTGAATTATCTTTTTAAGTCTTTTCTCTCTTCAGCAAGCCTCTATGTATTTGGTTGGAGACATTCTTCTTTCTTAGAGTTTCTCACTCCCACTGTAGTCCTGGCTGCATCTACACTTATTTCTTTGAAAAAACAACCATTGTTCTTCTATGTCAGCCATCAGTGTCTTTAACTCCACAGGTGCTGGGTGGTGTTGGTGGCTTGTGATATACAGGAGGTCAGATTAGATCATCTAGTTGTCTGTTCTGGCCTTAAACTCTGCCTCTTCAAATCTGTTACTAAGTTGCAGCTTGAAATACACTTTCACTGCTGGATCTGCTAACTTTCTAGTAGCATACATATAACCACGCATAGCAGAGGGCGCCTTCTTTAGTTTTATTTTGATTGTCCCACTAACAACATGCTGATGCCATCACTTCCGACATCAACACTTGTGCACACGCTGGCATCCAACAGTGATTTTCTTCAGTGCCTACTAATGGTCAAACTGTTTCTGGATAAAACCATCTGATTGCCATGTCAGTTTGTCTTTCCTTGTGTGGAAATAGTGTTGCGCCAATGCAAAGACTGTATTAGCTGCAGAGTTTAACAAAGTGTCCCCCATTGTCAGTCTGTCCTGGGATGCCATGTCTGCCTAAATGTGTTCATATCCAGTATTACCATCCTCAACCTGTACACTTAGATCTCTCATAAGGACAACAATGTAATATTTATTGAGCTTGCCAAGGGCACTTTGCAGTCTTTCGCAGAAACTGTCTTTGACCTGTTCATTGCTATTGTTTGTTGACGCATAATACTGAACAACTGTGACTTTTGCATGCACTGTCACCAAGTGAGCAGTCAGTAGTCTTGAGTTTCTGGGTTTCCATTCCTTCAATACTTTAGTAGCTGCCATGCTCAATAATAAGCCTACAATTTCCTGGTGTTTATCATCCTTTCTTTCAGAATATAAACCAGTCACACCTTCCTATGATAATTTGCATCATCCAGTCCATCTCATCTCACACAGACCAAGTATACTTAGGCCAAAACTTTCATTTTTCTGATAACTTGTGGTAGTCTACCTATAGTCCAAAGTGATCTAACATTGCAACACCAATTTTTTATCTTAATCTTAGCTGTGAAGATACCCCATTTCAGATGGAGAACTTCCTTATGTTTTTGATTCTCCATCATCATAGCATTGGCTGGCTTTGCTGATTGGCCAGTACTATCTTGTCTTACGTCCAGAAGATTGTAGTTCTCCACAGCTGATGACTGTATTTGGAAGTCTGTGACAGCTTGTCTCTGGGTTGTTTCCATAACAAAAAGCATTTTTAACATGGACAGGCTGTTAGTTAAATTCAGAACCCCCTACCCGGAGGACTGGTGGACTGCCTTTAGTCTGGTTCTTACCCTTCAACCTTAAACTGATGTATACAGACAGATCATTTCACTCCTCACTCACATGCTGTAGTCCCTGAGATTAAACACTGCAAATGTTTAATAACACATGGCAAAACCAGGGGTGCTGAAACAATTTGTATAATGAGGGTACTGGGAGCCATTGAACCAAACTGTAAACCTTGTATATGATGGAAACTTCAAGCCATGGGGAGCGCCAAACCCCTAGTTCCAGCACTTGTGGGCAGAACTGTACAACCAGAAGACAGGAAGTGATTGTTGACTTATGCAACACAAACTGCTGGTTGAATTTATAAGGCAGAATGGAATTATTCAAACCAAAATTTGGCTGCGACCCTAGGGCTAACATCTCTTCTCTTGCAAAAAGTGTCATCCTGATATTGTTATTTTATTTGAGCAAGTAGTTAACATCCTTTAATAATGGCATAAAAATACATCTCCCCTTCCTGCTACTTTCACCCCCAAAATACGCACATCATCACCTAAAAGATACAAAGTTAATTTATGGGTACCAAATACACACACACACACACACACACACACACACACACACACACACACACACACACACACACACACACACACACACAC